TTGCAAGAAGCTGTGGATTATTGTGATGGAAAATTGATGGATTTAAATCTATCATTATGTAACACTACATAGATGAAAATTTCACCAAAACACATACATCAGAGTACTTAAACAATTATTCATGGCCTAAGTGTGGGGCACTCCACAGACTTTACACAATATTTCACTTTATTAGTTTCAAGAAGAACTACCCAACCTGTGAAAGAGTTTAATAATATCCTCTGTGGCTCTGGAGGGAGCTTTGAAAGAAGTGGGCATTTAGGAGGCCCACTAAAACACTATTGAACTGCATCATGGGAAATGTTGGATCCAGAGTTTTTGGTGATTGATTCTCACTAAAAGTTAGGATATCTTGGCCACTGACACTTCCATTTTGATCACTGATTTTAAATTGTCTCTTGTGAGTCCCCTGCCTTTAGACTAAATTTCCAGAGTATTCCTTTATGTAAGGAAACCACCCAGACCTGCAAACACTTGATGACTGAGATTTCATGAGATGCAATGGAAGAAACAGACTCAGCATCATCTGTAGTTACTTCTTAAAATCATGCCTACTTCCCTTTGTCAAAAGGACAAGCACTGACTACAGTGTTGTTAACCACTGTTATAAAATTGTTGGTACAGAGAGCTAACACACAGGTTACATGCAATACAAAACAAATGCTGTGAAATGCATAATGCGAATCTCAATGCCCCCCACATGTTCATCGTGACTTTTTTTAAGCATGCCATCTGGAATGCTTTTAAGATTGCCTATAAGTTTGGTTCAATTCCAGAAGCCGTAAGACTCATGAACACTTGAGTTAAGGGGGATTTTTTTTTTTTAAGATATTTTTTGGGCATTTTTAGCCTTTATTTGATAGGACAGACAAGCGTGAAAGGGGGAGAGAGAGAGAGGGAGTGACATGCAGCAAAGGGCCACAGGCTGGAATTGAACCCGGGCCGCTGCGGCAACAGCCTTGTACATGGGGCGCCTGCTCTACCACTAAGCCACCAATGCCCCAAGTTAAGGGGGATTTTTAAAGGATCTTCAGAGAAGCCTAATGTTGGTACCAACGTTTTACTGTGTCCTTGCTTTTTGAGCCACAGAGCTTAAAATGATTAATTAATTAGTAATTATAGTTTCAATAAAGTATTTTAGCATAAATACAAAATATTTGCAGGTTCAAGCTTGTCAAATGTAAGCATGTCTTGTTTTTTTTTTTTTTTTTTTTTACATATGATTAAAAGTTTAGCGGCACGGTGGTGTGGTGGTTAGCACTGTCGCCTCACAGCAAGAGGGTTCCCGGTTCGATCCCGGGTGTGGGAGCCCTTCTGTGCGGAGTTTGCATGTTCTCCCCGTGTCAGCGTGGGTTCTCTCCGGGCACTCCGGCTTCCTCCCACAGTCCAAAGACATGCAGATTGGGGACTAGGTTAATTGATAACTCTAAATTGTCCGTAGGTGTGAGCGTGAATGGTTGTCTGTCTCTATGTGTCAGCCCTGCAATAGTCTGGCGACCTGTCCAGGGTGTACCCTGCCTCTCGCCCAATGTCAGCTGGGATAGGCTCCAGCCCCCCATGACCCTCAAGAGGATGAAGCGGTTAGAAGATAGATGGATGGATTAAAAGTTTAATATTTTGGGGTGTTGGACTTTTGCTTTGACAAAATTTGAAGAGCTCATTTTGGGCTTTGTGAACTTGTGGTGGACGTGTACTCACAATATATATTTTTTTGTCATTTCATATATTATGAGACTGTTTCACTCTAGAAAAATAATCTGCAGATTAACTGACCAAAGAATCACTGCAGTCTTCTTCTTTCACAAAACATGCTACTATGCCAACAGTAGATGAGGGAGTTCTCCTTGTGCATATGTTCTCTTGAGAGTGAAGGACTTGAAGTGGTGGTGGTGGTGGTGATGGAGGTGGTGGGGTGCTGAGGTTGGAGCCAGAGTGATCTGTCAGCAGTAAATCTCAGGGTGAGAGGGACTAAAGCCTGCCAGCTCAGTCTTCTCAGAGAGACGGGGAACATTAAGGCCACGATGCTAAAAGCCACTAAGTCTCCCTCTTGTCTCCCTCCGTCCTGGAGCTGGAGCCGGACCAGCTGCTCGGCCTCTTGTGTCTTTTTTTCTCTCCACATTGATCCGTCCCATCAGCCACCTTTGACCAACTCTTTTTTTTTCGCTTTCTCTCTTGTGAGAATGTTTAACAGTGAAACATCATCCTGACAAACGCACCACACTGTGTGAACTCAGCGATGGACTTTGACCTTTTTCAGTATAGTCAGTGATTACTACTGCTTAGTGGTGGCTTTTCCTTCAGTACTGATCAGGGGATGCAGTTATGTTATTGACCATACATCTACAGAGTCAATGGGAGCAGGATGGTTCACTTTGAATGAATATAAGACCTGCAGAGGACACACAGTTTTAGTTAATATGTTAACAGCAGCCAGGATTTTTCTCTTTAAAATCACCATGGTGGGTATTTGTTTCCATGCCAGCATTCATTCATTAACATTTGGATCAGGGATGCAAGTAACCGAAGGGTGAGGAGCTGTGAAATGTTATGTGGCAGTGAATCCCATGTGTGACAGGTTTGTGAATGTTGAATAATGCATAATGCTAGATGCCATTTTTCATTGGAAAAGCAATGGAGGCATGACGGCAGGCTGTGTTGACTGTTTATTCAGACACACATACAGTGTATGGATGGACAAAGTAACAAACACATTTAGACAAAGCACTTTAACCATGAAGGAACCAAGTGACTCTCTATGCAAAGCTTGAGAAGTTGTTATTGTTTAAGTTGTTGCTCAAGCAAAACTTCCCACCATCCCCTATTCCAACATCCCAAGATTGTAAGAATGTGCTGCTTTTCTCTGTTTTATATGATAAGTTTGGGTTTTGGACAGTGGATTAGACAAAACAAAGCACTTTTTACCATTTTCATAGGCTAAACAACCAGAGGTGCTTTGGCTCAGGAGGTAGAGTGAGTCATCCACTGAATGGAAAATCAGTGGTTCAATGCCTGGGTCCTCTACTCCGCATGTCAAAGAATCCTTGGGCAAGAAGCTGAACCCTAAATTGTGTGAATGATTTAGCTGAGTAGCAGGTGGCACCTTTTGTAGTAGCCTTGGTCACCAGTGTGTGAAAGTGTGTGTGAATGGGTGAGTGCGACATGTAGTGTTACAGTGGCTGGAAACTAGAAAGGTGCAATACAAGGGCAGGTCTGGGTCCATAAATCAAGAAAATAGTCCTCATATCAATCAGTAATAAAAGTAAATGTTAATTGCTGCTTTAATCTTGATATAGTAAATTTTCTACAACCCCGATTCCAGAAACATTTGGATGTTATGTAAAACATGTTTAATGCTTAGTAAGTATTTGGGAATTAATAACAGTAATTGTTGTTTTGAAAGTAAAATTCTCTCCTGTTCTTGCTTGATATACAACTTCACTTTCTCAGCAGTCCGGGGTTTCCGCTGTTGTACTTTGCACTTAATAATGCACCGCACATTTTCAATGGGAGACAGGTCTGGACTGCAGTCTAGTACCCACACTCTTTTGCTACGAAGCCACAGGAGCAGAATGTGGCTTTGCATTGTCTTGCTGAAATAAGCAGGGGCATCCCTAAAAAAGAAATTGTCTAAATGGCAGCATATGTTGCTCCAAAACCTGTATATACCTTTCAGCATTCATGGTGCCTTCACAGATGTGCAAATTACCGTTTTTTTACATGTACAAATCGTTTTTTAATTGCCAACAGGTGAACAGGTAGTAAAGTAACTTAAAAACTGAGACTTTCCCTGCTTTTCTCAGTTGCCTATAACAACCTGTGGACTGACTTCTATGTAAAGGACTTGAGACAAATTTTCTGGGAAAATCTAAAGGATGCGGGCCTTATCTCTCCTCTGCTCCACTACATCACTAACACTGTGCAACACCAGCTAACATTAGCTAAAAAATGGAGTTTGCATCAACAAATGATCGGCATCCAACACAACACAAAGTCCACACATGTTGTCATTCCATTACACTCATTTTGCAGTGGCGGTCCAGCAGAGACAGACCTTTACTTAGCGCCCTGTAGCAACTTGAATTCAGCCAGAGCTAGACTGAGCGTGGGGGGTCTGATCCAGGACCAGCCCGAGTCCTCGCCAGATCAGGAAACTTTCTGTTGCTGCCGTTACACAGGGTAGGCCCGGCGCTGCTGCTTGCAAACAGCAAGCTCATTAGTATCATGGAGCCAATGGTCCAGATGAAATATAGGAACATTGCAGATAGTCACGTTATTCTAAATAGGATGTCATTTTTTTCCCAGCATTCTATCTGCATGATGCTGGTCAGTCACGGTCTCGTGTTTGTCACTGTTTTGGGTGATGCCCAGCTGCTACGGAGTGCGAGTGCAGGCACCAGGATATTGGCTGAAGTTCACCTAATGGCCTCAGAGAGAGGTGGTGTCACTGATGACAAGGATTTGCTGAAAGTTACATACAGAACCTTGGATTAAAAACGTGACAAACAAAGATTGATACAAAACTCACAAAGAAATCCAATATAGGAATCAGTAAATGGGACCGATGAGGAATCTGCCATCATACAAGGGCTGTAGCTAATGATTCTTTTCATTAGCAGTGAATTTGCCGTTTTTTTCATGAAATCGATGAATTTTTCTCTACGAAATGACAAAAAATTGTGAAAAATGCTAATTGAAGATATTCAATTTACTATTTGACAAGAAATTGAAGCAGCACAATCCTGCCATTTGAGAAGCTGGAGAAATGCACCATTTCTTTTGCTTGAAAAATGGATAAATTGATTATCAAAACCGCCTAAGTCTAGAATATATTTTCATATTTAAGAAATGTATGATAGTTTTGTTTGTTTTTGGGGGGTGATAATACAGCTGACTTGAAAACTTGTAGGCTATATGAAAAATACACGTCCATAGCTGACGCAAGGCTCCGGTCGCTGAAGGGTTAAACGTCATTGGTAGTAGGAAGTGGGTGGTAAGAACTGTGGATGGAGCGAAGCCTGTGTAGCGACCACAGATCGTTTTTCGCGAGAAAATCAATGTTCCACCAGAGAAGAACAGAGTGAACACATCGTGTATCTGTGAGGAGAGGAGAAAACGGACAGATCTGTTTACCGGAGGACGAAAACGTGAAGTGATCAACCTGCTTTCTGTTCCGATGTGTGTGTGCATCGTTCAACAGAGGGACGTATAGAGTCGCTACAGATTCTCATTGATATCGCCTTTTTTTAATGCACAGGAGCTCTGACAGCGCGTGGATGCGTCATGTAATCGAGATTTGTAGTTGTGCAATACTGTGCAATATGCATGCAAAGAACTCAATGTACATGCTTGCACTGATGCCTTCTCAGCACACAGGCTGTGTTTGAATGTGCTCTGGCTGTCTGTGGAACATGTAGTGGATTTCTGCAGCTTGTTGACCGACGGAGGATCGTTGTGATAGAGGCATTTTAAAGGATGACAGTAGTTGACTCGGTTGATCTTGGCTGTGAGTGCTGCACTTGTTTTTGTGTTTGAACTGTGATTCGCTCTAGATGTTCAGGAGGCGAAAGATGACTGCAAACGTGTTAGGTTTATGTGATCTGTGGTGTGATAAGCTTCGCTCTGACAGTCTGGGTTGTTCAGGGGGTTCCTTCTCTGTCTCCCAGCTGGACTTCAGTTCATGCAGAGCACGCTGATCCCACCGTGCAGCCTCTCGCTTATTCAGCAGTTCCCACTACAGAGCAGCCTAGTCAGTAGTCTCTGACAGTCTCTGCCAGCAAGGGATGTGGGCTGGGGTCGAGCTCAGGAGCGGCACTTTTTATACACTTTGGTCATATTTGATAGTGTAGTTTTTTTTTTTGCTGTAAGGCGGGAGGATCGCTCATTTCCTGTTATTTGCCACACTGACTATAAGAGCACCAATTAACCCTCAGATAACTGGCGGACATCATCTGCTTCTCGCTGGTAAATGATGCTAAAAGCAGCCGACACTCCACCAAGCATTTCGGTTTAGTAGTAAATTGACTCTCGCCGAAAGCCACGCGAGAGTGGGGCTTCTCCTCGCCCCCGTCACCTGGAAACCACAGGAGCCCACGAGACCCTCCGACAGGTGTGAACCCGGACTCGCGTCATGGATGATTCTGGGATCATCCGAAGACGGAGGCTGCAGGTGAGGACTTTGTCACCCATTTGTTACCATATGAGGATTATATAATTAAAAAAAATATTGTATGAATTCTGTCTAACATTTGCCAGATGTCTTTTTAAGTGTTTTTCACAGTTACCAAAACTGGCACATTTAGTTTTTTAAAGGAGATTAACAGTATTAAAAGGTGACACATGGTGGTTATTTGTCCACACATACATTTAAGAGATGTAAAAAAGAGCCAGTGTTATCAGTTGTTCTTTACATTAACATATTTAACGTATTTATTCCATGTATGCTTTGAAAGAAAGGAGGTATAGGCCCATGACTTGAGTTCATAAAAATAGTGTCAAAAGGCACCTGGCTGTAAAGACATGGAAGATGTAGAGACAGTTGATTTTGTAGACTGCACAAAACAGCAGCATTTCAGATAGGAATGGGTGACATGGAAACCCCTCTATCACAGCCATTGTATCTTGCAATATATACATCAGCGCGTACATTGATGGGGCAGCTGCGGATCAAGAGGTAGAGCTAGTCGTCCAGTAATTGGTAGATTGACGGCTCAATCTCCAGCTCCTCCAGTCTGCATGTTGAAGTATCCTTGGCCAAGATACCAAACCCCAAATTGCATGTGAATGTGTAAAATGAGTAGCTGAGTAGTGGTGCATTTGTATGGTGGCTTTGGCCACCAGCATATGAATGGATGAATGTAGCGTAAAAGTGCTTGAGTGGTCGGAAGACCAGAAAGGCACTATACAAGTCCGGGTCCATTTAGCATACACGATATAGTGACATTTCTTGAAAATCAAGTGAAAAGCTGTTTATGGATTTTAAAAAATGACTCGTTTGGCAGAGAAAATACCAGACAAATCATTACACATCCTCACATTTAAACAGTCTGGCTTATTGGTTTGATACATTATCCACAATGACCCAATGCAACCAGAGATATTAAAGAGATAGTTACCCTCATATAAACAGTATAAATGTTTGACAGTAGACAAACTTCTTTAACATGTTGTCCCGATAACTTGTATGAAAGGCAGCATCAATAAGTGCAGTGGGTGACAGTTTCCTGACAGTTTTAGATTTACAGTAGTATATGTGCATGTGTAATAACCAGTCATATGTTGAGTCTAGGCTGCCTAAAGAGACCTAGTTGAAGTAGATTATTCTGTTAAATTTACATGATGTAGGCTAGTCACTTAGCCCATATCTTGTGCGTTGTGACAGACACGGGAAGGCACTGGTGAAAGCTTCCTTCGAGGCTCTCCTCTGTGGGTGCTTGCGTGAAATTAATCAAGTGAGGCAGGCAAAGCTTACTATGCAGGGCCATTGTCTGCCAGTCTTTCTCTGCTTCCTGGTGAATTAATTTACAGTGAAAGTACTCTGCTGCACATTGTGCCAAGATATTCTGCTCTAGATGATTGCTCATCATTTATAAAATATAGACAAGCAACACTGGAAGATTTCCTGCACAAGTGTTGTTGTTCAGTTGGTGGAACGTAGCAGTAGCACTGCCAGTCTCAGAGTTTCTACTCCTACAGGTGCGGGGCTCCTGCTGTGAGGCCTGGAGGATTACAGCAGACACCAAATTAAAGATTTAATGATAAATACCTGTCTTTGATGGAGTTAGTTTAGGGACCACTGAATTTAAGGAATACAAGACTATCTGCAACCTCTACCACCGGCTCTGTCGTTATTAACCGTACTTATTAAACTGTTTGTTGAAGATTTCCACTTAACCAGCGTTTGAATTACACAGGGCTTTTGGGGGGGCCCCATTTTTGCCATGCGGGGAAGGGAGGGTACATAGCCTACACATGGACATGCAAACATGAATGCGCCCGTCTATGTGAAAAAATTCACAATAGAATTCAATACATTTCAGTTCATACAGAGAATATTTAGTCTGGGACAACAATGAAAAATTAATAAGAAAAATGATTTACCATTGCAGTTTTTTTTTTTTTAAATCACTCTCGTGGTGATGGAAACATTTTCTCAGGAGTTAATTGTGGCTGAAATTTAAACATGGATATCAAAACCTTTAGTGGAAACTGAGAGCAGGACCCATCTGGAATGGTTACAAGACACAATTTGATGCTACCATGAAGGTTTGAATGTAATACATACACAGAGACACAGCAAGACAGAAACACACACACACTGAGCCAAGATGGACTTTGTATCCAACTAACAGCGGCCCACAGACACATAAAACACACATTCACTTACAAGAAGATTACTGGTGAGTCAAACTTTTGATTTTAGTCTGAGTGCATGTTAATGTGTGTGTGTGTGTCCGTCCATTCTGTTGACTGTACTGTGGCTACGCCAGGCATCTTGTGTGTGTTTGTGCATAACGTTCATGCCTATATGTACATATCAAATCGACTCCCACCCCCTGCCCCTACTCTCCATTTCCATTGAAGTGGTCGATATCCATATCTCAGACAGAGGAGGTCTAAATGCTGAGGATGTGGCGCAGTTGTCAGGCCCATTAGCAGGACTAATGGTGGCCTAACAGTCTGTGTGCCCTCAGGGAGGAAGACCAACCACCAGCAGAAGCAGGACAGGCTGAAACGTCCTGAGGCCGCCAGGAGGAGAAGGGGGAGGGGGCATGGACCTGAGGCAGGCAGCAGCTGTGGGCTACAGTAGACCCCATTTAAGTGGCTATTACAATATCTGGATCCCTTTACTGCCTGGATCTACTTTCACTCTGGAGAGAGAGAGGAGGGAGGAAGAGAGAGGATTGTGTGTGTGTGGGTGTATAGCATGTTTGTTCTTCACACAGATCACTTGTTCATTAATGAAAAGAATTTGGGCTAAAACTAGGTGGGTTCAGCAGAGTATCATTCAGTTTGCTCAGTACTGAAAACAACTGGTTTCAATCACGTCTTTCTCGTTCATTAATTTAACAGAAAACCACCAGACCTGTCAAATGCATCATTTGATGTCTTAACACAAAGAGAAACTTTTCCTGGTTAAAACTGACAAAATTCTGATTTTAAAATAGGCAATATTTGACAAAACAAACCAAATGAAAAATTATATAAAACTAAAAGTATAAAAAAAGTAAAAGTCTCATCTGAAGCATCTGTTATCAACTTCTCTGAACCTGACAGTGAAAAGACCAGAAACAATACTGTTGACATTTTTGAGTTAAAAATGGAGTATATAATCAAAATTATGTATCTCTTAAGTTTATTTTTTAAAGAATTGTGAAGATCTGTGAGAGATTATCAAGACAGACACTATACAACTGAAAACTAAACGTGTCAATACATTCTGGCGGACAAACAATGTAGAGGGGACAGTGTCTAAATGTTCTTTAATGTATCTCTTTGTTTTTTTGGCATTTTTGCTGATTTTGTCAGTCTCACTGATGTATAATAACAACTAGTAGGGTGCATGATATTGCATTTTTTGCTGATATCCGATATGCCAATATATAACAACTTATTTGGCTGATAACTGATACTGATATTGATATATCCACTTTTTACCAGCTAATTTTAGTGATCATCATGTCTCTTCTGTCGTGAAATTAACATCATATTATGCATGCATACTATTATCGTGACGGCCCACCAGCAGATGGAGACATGAAATAGAATGCATTTCAATGTGTGTAATATTTATTTACTGTGCAAAATTTAAAAAAAAAAAAAAAGCATGTTGGCCGATACTTAAAGTTCATTTTAAGGCCAATATCTACTGCAAATGATGACGTGCCGATATTATTGTGCATCTCTAATAATTAGTTACCGAAAGCTAAGATGGCACCTGTTCAGTGTAATAGAGTTGCTCGCCTGGTAGGTACACCAAAAAAGTTTCTAGCTTACGGGTATGCGGCCCACGGAATATGCGCAGTAGTGTCATTCCTGCTGGCCCTGCCCGCAATTCCACGGTAGACTTTACATTGTAATGGCATCCAGGATTTTTAAATAGCTTTTCACGGCACGAGGAAAGTTTTACAGATATAAAACGTGCATGGATCCAAAACAAAACATAGAAAGAGTCATAATTGACCTTGTTTGCAGTTGGAGGTTTCTTGTCAGCAGTTTTACAGGTGTCTTCTTTATACTGGTGGTGTATAGGTACAATGCTTGTTGGGCCACAGGGGATTTTTTTGCTGCAATACCACAAGTGGCCACTGAAAAAAAATTGTAAGCAAGGTGAGGTGGCGCTCTTGGGGGGCCTAGTCACTCAATAACAATGTGAAATGATTCCTCCTTTGCTTCTGTCATGATTATGATGGCCTCTAGAGGATGTTGTCCTTCAATGTTTTTTTGGGTGCACTTGCTGAAACAACCGCTGATGTTGTTGTTCTTGGAAAGACTCAGCTTTTTTCACAGCCCCCTGCAGTCACTTATACCCTGATTGATTCATCCTGCCATCATCCTTAAGCCACAAAATCTTCTCGCTTTCTCCGTCTTTCTTGATTGTCTCCCTCACGTCCACAATAACCTTCCCCTTAATTTATGTATCACTTAGTTCTCCTTCACCTTGATCACCTCCTTCGTCCAACCATCTTTCTGTCCACGTCTCCCCATTTCTCACCTCCCTCCTTACTTTCATTCTCTCATCCTGGCAGCTCCACATGGCACAATGGGAAAACCATTTTGAGGGTGTGACATTCGGCTTGGGGGTTGTCAGTGTCATTATAGAGTAAATAAATAACATTACAATACAGTTTAGCATATGTTCTTGGCCACTTACATCCCCCCTTCACACAGACCTTACTTGCACATTACTAGATCCTATTTATTTACTGTACAGAGCCAAAACATTTAAATCAATCACAGAATAGAGTGCTCCAGGGATGACATTTTTCTGTAAGCTGACATGGAAGTTAGCATTGCCCTGATTCCCTCATCAAAAAGCCTATCAGATTTTTCCATTGGGAAAATCACTGGGAGATATACAAAATGGAAAAACTTACTGTCAGAGTTAGAAATCAAGTGCATATTTTTGAAGAGAGATGGGAAAAATGGTTGAGATATATAAAAGACAAT